TTTAATAGACAAAAAGGTCTCTAGATATGAACATATAATTGTTACTTTAAGTTAAAGTATATAGTTGTGCATATATAATTTTTTTGTATTAAATTATGAAATATTATATTAAGTTGTGAATTTTGTGTATTAAACTGTGAAATGATTGTATTAAGATGTGAATTGACTGTATTAAGTTGTGATTTTTTTTATGAATTTTTTTTTGCTTCTGAAATATGATAAGAAAGAATCATCATACAAATATGATTTTCTCTAACTTTAAATGAATTATATAAAATTTAAACTGTGAATATGGCGTAAATTAAACTTTGAAAAAACACCAACCTTTAGATCTAGAGGTATAAATATAAGTTTTAAGTTAAGAATATGACTTTTTTATATTTTAAATTGTTAATTTATTATATCAAGCTATAATTTTTATATATTAAACGATAATTGACTATATTCAGTTGTGAATTGATTGCATGTTGCTGTGATTTTTTTTATAATTTTTGTGTTAAAATATGAATGATTTATGTAAGAACTTTTGTATTAATTTCTTGAGAATATATTTATTTTTTGTGTTGTATAAGTATGTAAGAATGCCTTAGTTTTTATAATTATTTTGCATTAGATTCAAAATGGGTAAATCAATCAGTTTATTAAACTATGAATGTAGTATTTAACATGTCATTGTCTGACTTTATATACAAATCTCATTTGGAAGAAAGAATTGTTGTAATGTTGTCACAGGTGGTTGGTGGCGGCGTGTGATGGTGGTAGAGTTTGGGTTTGACTTGTCTAAATTTGAGAATTAGTGTAAAATAAGTTGTATTAAGTTGTAAATTTTGTGTATTAAACTATAAATGGACTATATAAAGTTGTATTTTATATATGTTTTGTGTTAAAGTATGAATGAATGCATGAATGAAAATATTAGACTAAAAAAAATTACAAACTTGCCATTTTCTTACCAAAAAGACAAAAATCAAGATTTTAACATACTTGAAAATATTCACAATACATATTTACTTATTAAACGAGGGTTCTTAGTCTTTTCTGGTTCTCATTTGAACCACTCTATATATATAATATATATATATATATATATATATATATATATGTGTGTGTGTGTGTGTGAAATTAAAGTTGCAAGGTTATTAGAAGGTTTAGTTACGTTTAAAGAGAAAAATTTAAGTTTAATGGACTAAACTTGACAAACTAGATCACTTTATATTCGATCATGCCTTGACCTACCTAATAATCGAGGGACTTATTTAATTGGAAAGTTTTTAACTAGGGTTAACTTAGTAAACTATGAAAGTTATTTGGTGGTTAGACTTTATTTGTGGTCAAATGTAAATAACATAGAAATTGAGGGGTTGTTTGTGTAAAGACCGAAAAATCGTTACTTCATGATAAAAAAATTTAAGGAAAATGATGTGTTCGAATGCAAGAATAAAAGGTTAGAAAGTACATTGTCATTTAGAGAAAGTCAGCAAAAATCAAACATGTAGTAAACGTGGCGTGTGGCATAAAGATATGTAACATTTCATTTATAATTTGTCAAGTAACAATGAATAGATATATAGTTTGATAAGTGATAACCGAATTACAAACACCATAAACAAAAAAACGAACTAAATCCCAGAGAAAAGTATGCAACTATGCACACTATACCAAAAACTAACTACTATTGCACTCCCATTTTGAAGTCGTCAGACAGTTCAAATAACGACACCAATGGCAATGTTGGTACCCATTTTCCATGATACATCACTAAACCTGCGATAAATTTGCATTACAATTTACAATATCACATCCACATCATCTTGCCGTTAACAAATTTATAAATTATCGAATTTTGTTGTTCTTTTTTTTTTCAACAAAAAATAAGTTGAAAATGAGTATAAACTATCATGGTCGGTGATAGGGGTGGGCAATAAGGGCTTGTGCATAGGGCCTAAAAATTTCAGGGCCCAACTTTTTTTTTTACTATATTCAGTTAAGCATTTTTAGCCCAAAGCAAAGATAGTCCATTTCAATCTCTTAAGTAGTCCACACGCGAGAAAAAGAAAGTATCGATCAAACGCAGCAGAAAAGATAGATCATCGAGATCGATCATTGACACTTCAGCCTTCAACGACAGAATCGACTAGCGAGGGCACTCCTACAAACCTGTTATTCTGCTATTTTGCTAAGTGCTAATCAAGTAAGTAATCGATTAATTGATCAATGTCATTGAAATCTTCAACTCCTGCGTAACTGTGTTGGAACAATTTGTAAATGTTCAGTTTGTAATTGAATGTCTATGTCATTAATTGATTAATTGATCAATACCAAAGGGCTTCTAGCCCAACGGTATCAGGTGTTGCCCTTCCTCCTTGAGGTTGAGGGTTCAACTCTCGTCAGAGACATATGTGGATTTAGGAGTAGTTTAGGATTATATTGTATTTGCCGTTCAAAAAAAAAGATTAATTGATCAATATCATTAATTGATTAGTTTGTAATCTCTTGAAACTTAAGACAATATGATAAAAATATTTATACAATGAGTGAGTCGTAATTGAATGTCTAATTGCCTATTATCATTTATCATTTGTAGTTTGTAATTTAATGTCCATTACCAATTTGCTATCATGAATACTAGGAGAGTTAATTACTTATTAAAATACAATGATTTTGTTATGTTTATTGTTATAAAGTTTATCCTCATTTAAAAAAAATAGTTTATGTAATTTAATTCGTTACATGTTAAGACCTAATGGTCATTTTATTCCTGGTCGTCCTGAGCATTTGAATCCTCAGGACCGGCCCTGTAAACTATAACAGATTATGAAAAATTAAAAAAACCCAATTATCAATCCGATTGATGGATTCAAAAGAATCCAACACGATTTTGGATTCACTAGTTACTGATTATAGTCTTTGTTTATTTTTTTTCAACGAATCCAACACAATTTTGGATTCACTTGTTAGTGATCATAGTCTTTGTTTTTTTTTTCAACGAATGATGGTTCCAAAAGAAATCCAACACATTTTTGTATTAATTTTGGAAACCATTAACCCATTACAAAATTTGGTTTTAAGCTCGATAGCAAATCTATTACAAGTTTACAACCGATTAAAAATAGGATATATACACTAAAGTCCCAATATTTTTATCGATTTGACAAGAAAGTCCTAAACTTTATTCTTTTGACAGTAAAGTCCAAATTACTGCCAGTTTTTGACACTTTTACCATTTTCCCGGTTAGCCGGTAATTAGGATTTTTTTGTCAAAAAAAGAAAAATAAAGTTTAGAATCTTCTTGTCAAATCATCAATTAGGACTTTACTGTAAAAAAATAATAATAAAGTTTATGACTTTCTTGTCAAATCGTTGAAAATATTGGGACTTTACTGTATATATTATTTTTTTTGTTAGAAATTTAATGGTATGATACTTTTTAAGCATAAGAGTTATTGAAACCTTCACTAGTCAGCTAGATCCTATTGAAATCCTTAACGTTTGCTTTTTGTTAAATCGTTTTTTTAATCTCAACAAACCGACATTGAAAAAAATGAAGATAATCAAGAAAGAAAGAACCAGAGTTGTGTTGTTTGTGTTTGTATAATCTGTCTTCACTTTTTAGTTCAAGATTTGGTGGCGAGGCAAGAAGAAAGTTTTACAAGGGTGACATATACATACCCTTAAATTTCTAACTGACTAGAGAATGTTTCAATAACTCTTATGCTTAAAGAGTATCATACTATTAAATTTCTAACAAAAAATGATATATGCACTAAAGTCTCAATATTTTCAACTATTTGACAAGAAAGTCGTAAACTTTATTTTTTTTGACAAAAAGTCATAATTACCGATAACCGGGAAAAAAGGGTAAAAGTGCCAAAAACTGCCGGTAATTTGGACTTTACTGTCAAAAAAATAAAGTTTAGGACTTTTTTGTCAAATCGATAAAAATATTGTGACTTTATTATATATATCCCATTAAAAATCCAATCGTGTCTATGCATTTCTAAATTTACCCGATGTTTTAACAATAATATCCATTGATCTATTGACTTCAAAATAGTTTAGCTATCCAACTTTTGTGTATTATAAAAATGTGATGTGTGACAATACTTGAATTATGTATGGCGTGACATGTAGTTGGGCCCATTATAAAAATGTGATGGATGACATTATGAATTTACAACTAATTTAATAAAAAATATGAATTATTGATCGAACATTTGAACTATATAAAATTAAAGACATGCATGTGTTATAATCAATCTACCTCTATAGTCTATACTATATTGCAAAAAAGCATAGATGTAAAATTCAAAAGTTAATACTAAGTATACATTTTTCACCTTCAAAAATAAAACGTGATCTAACTTATGTTATAACGAAAAGTTTGATTATTATTAAAAATATTTCAAATGTGATCTAGAAAACATAAAAAGAAAAAAAACCCCTCATAAACTACAACAAAACTGACAAATTCTAAGCAATAATAATTAAATAACCAGACGTGCACAAACATTAACATCCCTAAATGGCTAAATCTGGTTTCACATATGCTGGACGACTTTATATTTTTACAAATGATTCTCAATTAAATGAATCAAAAATTCTGTTTTGATTTATTTAACTCGTTATATTAAAAAAAATTAACAGTTTTTTATATAATAAGTTCATATATCTTTATCAAAATATGTAAAAAGTTAGATATCTACTTCATTACATAACTAAAAACATATAACCTCATAAAAAATTTAGGTATCTACATCTACCTCATTAAATTGACAGCATACCTTTTCTTTTTTATAAAAATATTAAATCCAACTTCTAATTAATCATCAAAAATTCAAAATAGAAGAAATAATAAGTAAATTAATATTTTTAATTAAAAAAACATTAAATAAAAACAGTATAATACATTGAAAACTGGTATGATAGTGTAAAGAGCGAGGGAGATATCGAGAGCCCCATGCTTTAAACACTGTTCAAACATTTTCACTTCTCTTCTTCGAATGAAGAAAGATTTGACAACATTTGTGCGTTTTGGGGGAAATTAAGAACCCTAATTTACGTTTTTGCAAAATCGTAAGCATAAATTATTGATTTGCTGTATGTCACATACATGAAAAGGTGAAAAAAGTTAAAAAACGCATCTTCTTCACCGTATCGCCGCTGCCTGTTGTCTGTCCCTTTCTTCACCCGCTGTGTACTTTTCGAAACTTACCTCTCACCAGATCCGTCGCTCTCTTCTTCCAAATCCTTAACCCTACATCTACACCTACTTCATCGCCATCAGTAAATGCAGCAGTCTTCGCGTATTCTTCAGGTAAACACTGCTCATTCACTCTCCTTTTGTTAACTGTAATCAGTACAGCATTTTTTTTTTTTTAACTTTAATTATTGTCGGTTTTGGAGCTTTTGCTTTTTTTGAATTTAGTATCTCTCACTCACTCCACCACCCCCACCAAATCTATCATTATTCATCACTAAAGTTCAGGTATTGTTCCGGATTATTTGCGCTTTTGTCTTGTAAACTGTTGCTTGGAATTGAATGGGGCCCGATTGGGTGTATGTTGTCTAGTCGTTTTGATTTGACATTTTGACTTGTTCAATGGATTTAGATCTGATGCTTAGTTGATCGTTTCCATTTGCAGAATTCTTAGCAATTTTCACCGGATAATCGATTATCGAATGATCAGCCTGACATAACTTTCAAATTCGGAATTCAAAAGGTCGATTCTTGCCAAGCATTCTGTAGTATAACAGGCTAGGGTTTTGATGGAGGGACGAGTGAGAAAGTACGGACATCACCATCAACAATTGAGTCCTGATAGAGCTAAAGTCTGGAAGGAGAGGTCTCCTAGGTATCAGCAACGGCAACCTGAGCCGGAGCCGGAGCTAGAGCTACGTCAGAAGAGTCGGAAAGTCCCTGTGGTTTACTATCTCTGTAGAAATCGACAACTTGAACATCCTCACTTCATCGAAGTTCCTCTTACGTCATCAGAGGGTCTTTTCTTAAGAGGTATACATAATACATATCATCTCACAATCAAATCCACCATTCTCTGTTTTAATGAAATAGTTAACCCGACGATTTTGTAAACATTTCTTTCAGACGTAATTGAAAAACTTAATGTTCTCAGAGGAAGAGGCATGGCGTCAACATACTCATGGTCTTGCAAGAGGTTTACAAACTTTCTTTTTCCTTATCAAATTCATATATCTGGTTACAAAAGTTTGATGGATAAAGATCTTATTTTGCTTACAGGAGTTACAAAAATGGATTTGTCTGGCATGATCTTTGTGAAGATGACCTAATTCTTCCCGCTAATGGCAATGAATATGTTCTCAAAGGCTCTGAACTCGTTGAAGAATGTAATTCAGGTACATATATCTTCATAACTCCTCTCATATCCTTCTTCTTCACCACTTCAAACACCCATCTTCATTCTTCACATCTGGAAACTCAAAAAATATCAATTTTTTCTTCATATTTCATAGGTCGTTTCACACCTCCCATAAAACTACAAGCCCTAAAACAATTACCAGAACCACCATCTTCAAGAAGTCAAGATGACTCATCATCTTCAACAAGCATGAGTGGTGTGTCCCCTGAATCAAGAGGTGAAAAATCCACAACATCAGGTGGTTGTCTAAGCTTAACAGAATACAAAATCTACAAAACCGATGGTCTTGCAGATGCTTCAACTCAAACAGACGAAAACATAAAAGGTAACAATAACAATAACAATAACATTAACAAACCCCAAGAAACATGCACACGTGGCGTTTCAACTGATGACATGGCAGTAGACTCATCTCCTCAAAACCTTAAACAAAACCCCGAGATACAACCAGGCCCATCTCCACCTTCTTCCTCCACAAGCTCTTCAATTGGAAAAACAGAAACTTTAGAGTCTTTAATAAAAGCTGATGCTAGTAAGTTAAATAGTTTTAGAAGACCAGAAATTCAAAGCAACACAAAGCTTAGGGCTACAGATATGTTGATGCAATTGATTTCATGTGGGTCAATTTCGGTCAAAGATCACAGCTTTGGGTTAATCCCATCTTACAAACCAAGATTTTCAGATTCAAAATTCCCATCTCCTTTGTTTTCAACATCTGTAATGTTGGGGGATCTTGATTGTTTGCCTGAAAATCCAAGATTTATGAGTATGAGATTAGAAGATAAAGAATACTTTAGTGGGAGTTTAGTGGAAACAAAAGTCATCAAAGAAGAAGGCGTCCCTACTTTAAAAAGATCATCTTCCTACAATGCTGACAGGTTTGTAATATTTGTAATCTTTAATTTATATTTCCAATTTTACCCTATCTATAAATATAGTAAAAGTACATTGTTATTATACCAATTTTATATGGATCTTGAAATGCAGGAGTGAAAATAGCGATCAAGTTTCAGAAACAACACGTACAAAGTGTATACCAAGATCACTCAAGGGTAAAAACGTAAAAAGTGAACCGATGAGATCTCCTATTTCTGATGGGCCTAGAATTTCATCAGAAGGCCCAAGTTCAAGAATTGTGTCACCTTGCCCTTCGAATTGCAGTAGTAAAAGAATGACAACCAAGAAACAATCAGGAAGATTGGAGTCTTTTCGGGAAGAGAAGGATAATATGGTCAAAATCGAAGAAAGTTAAGTTGTAGTCTGATTTCCGAATTTACCCTTCACTCTTTTCTATCAATATGTGCAATGTACTTTACTCTTTTTTTTTTTTTACTAATATATCTAATGTACTTTTTCTTTTACCCATGATATCAATATCATTGTATTTTTAGACAATATACAGAAAAGCCACTATATTTTAAAGTGGCTTTTCTGTAAATTGCTCTTATATTTTTTAACTGATAATAGCAACATGTTGACAATTTGTTATCCATAATATCAATGTGTTTACTTACGTTTTATTAATTATAGCAAATATGTAACAAATAAAGTAAATTGCATATTTTTATCAAAATGTAAAAAAACATTGTTATTATGTGTAAAAATAAAGTAAATGTGGTTGAGACTTGAGATTTTTAATTTCATGATAACAGGCTGGCTTCAGGAGCTAGGGTTATAATTCATTCAGAAGCACCATGTGATACAGAAATTTACTCGTAAGTTTGTTGAAATTCTTGTTGTATTCAAAATTGTTGTCTGATTTAGGCAATTAGAATTCTTCCATGGGTATTTTGGTAAATTGGGTCTGTGAAAAAATTTGAAAAATATCCAAGAAAAAAAAGGTGGGAGTAATTTAAGGAGAGGTGGGGTGAATTGAGTAGCCCCTCTCTTTTTGCCTTTTTATAGTCAGCTTTTATGGCTTTACAACTATAGATTCGGCTTTCATTATTGCATAGATTCTATTATTCTATTATACCTCCTTTTGGCATCCCTTAGGCTTTTAAATCACTTGCTTAAAAAGATGAAAGTTTAGTTATTTTATAAATATATAAAGACAAGAAAATGATAGGTTTTGAAAACAATTTGAAATAAAGATATATTTATTGGTGAAGATGTGGACAAATCATGGTGATTTTACTGCCACATATTATATGAGTGGTTATATAATATATATTCGTGAAGTTTTTGTTTTTATATGACATTGAAAGTAGGAAAAGAGATACATTGACTTGGGAAAGTCAACACATAGGATTCTCTAGTGACTTTGTACTTTTTTATATATGCTAAAAGCCAATCTCCAAGTCAAAATTTACTAAATTTGTTACTTTATTTTAGTTGTCGGAAGTTGATGGAGAACCAATGAGATTAAATAATCTCAAAGGACAAAAATAAATTATTTGATCACAATTGAATAACTAGCTTTCCTATGAACAATCCAAAAATAAGAATAAGAAACAATTATGTCGATAATACTGTCTTTCCTAGGGTTTTCGTTCCAAATATCATTTCGTCCTGAAACTTCAAAATGGCCAAAACGAAACACTAACAATAGCCAGAGGAGCTAATGAAAAAGCAATCCCCATTTCCGGATTATGAACTGCTTTAATAGCCGAAGCCTACATCAAATCTGGCTTATTAAAGAAAAAGTCACATGAACTTTAAAATAAGAGCTCATTTTAATGTAAATAAGTTTCGAACCCCAAGACTACCTTCGTATTTGTTAGAATAACGTTTTTTTTTTTTTTTTGGAAACGACAAATATGTATTATATAAATAAAGACCCAAGTATATGTTACAACAAATAAAAGGAGAACAACACCAATCAGTCTATTTACAATTTACAATTTTCCTTTATACTTATGCCAAGAGTATGGCATTGAGATCACATCATCCGTAACTGCTGTGGGGGAATGAATCAGATTGTTATACTTCCAGATTTGCCAAATGACACCATATGAAATGATGGACTGTCTTTTGTTTCTTAGGAGAATTACCCCCATCTAGCTCCAAAGTCTAAGAGATCGTCCACACCTGAAAATTGCTTCAGGTGAATACCACACCAATTAAAGATCCATTTTAAATTTCTTCTAATGCATAAAACTTATTTTTTACTCATTTATCTTGGCTCCCCTCCAAATAAAAAATAAAAAATTCTACGTCTAATTTTCTCTAAGAAATTGAGAATGCATTATGGAGATTTGAAAAATAGAGAAGTAGTAAGTTAATATACCATCAATCAATAACATTTTAACTTTTACGTTATAAAGTTTTTTTTTTAAAAATGGACCACCACAACTTCCAACCTTCTATCCAACTCATATTGGATCCAAACGGTAAACCAAAATAAGTAAACGGAATCTTACCCGATGTGCAAACAATAATCTTCACTAAACCATCAATCTCCACTTGCGAGATACCCTACTTCTATCAATCCCGTGTCTTCGAAATCTTTCAAATATCTGAAAACATCACCTTTTAAAACATCCCAAAACTCCTTCAAAAACTTGACAGTAAAGCCAAAGCCATCTGGGCCCGATGCTTTATCATTACCACAACTCCAAACCACATTCTTGACTTCGTCCAACGAAAAAGAAGCCTCCAACATATCTCTATTGTCATTCAAAATCTTCTTGAATCTGTTATTTACAAATTTGGGTCTCACCAGATCATTCTCATCAAATTTGGAGGAGAAAAAACTCTAAACAACATCCTTTATCCATATAGGGTCCATCTCCCATGGACCCCCCCAATTGTAAGACCATTTATCCTGTTTTTCTTATTATCCCCATTGATAACTCCATGGAAAAATTTACTATTCTCGTCTCTTTCCACCTCCTATCTTATTCTTGCATTTTGTTGGAGTCGATTTCAATAATCCTGTATTTCCAATTTTTTTTTCTCATCAATCGTTCTGGAGACGACAAAGCATCGGTCTCATCCTCATCCTGGATCTCCAAGTCATCAATTTTAGTCAATAATTCAGAATATTCATAATTTTCCTTTGACGTCAAATCCGATCCCCAAGTCCTTATATCACTTTTAAGAGCTTGAAGTTTTTTTAAGTAATTTCAGATCAACCCTCCTATTCTCAATCTGATTCACCGAAGACACTCGCACAACCTCTGGGATCCCATCTAACCACAACCAAGAATTGAAGAATTTGAAAGATGAGGGTCCAAAGTCAAGAGTGTCAGTGATCAGAACAATAGGGTTGTGATCAGAATACAGTATAGGAAGGACCGTAACTGCAGCTGTAGCCCACCTAGATAGAAACAAATCATTTGCTAAGAACCTGTCAATTTTACTAAGACTTCTCCCATCATCACTCATCTAGGTGAATTTTCTACCCCCCCCCCCCCCCCCCCCCATGTTAAAATCATACAACTCGACATCACAAATAAAAGAGTTAAAATCTTCCATACTATAGTCACAAGCCAAACATTGAAAAATGATCTTCTTTACAGTGAACTTCGTTGAAATCTCCCATAAAAAGCCAAATGCCATTTTGTTGTTCTTGATATCTTTTAAAGCATTCCAAAGCACCAATCTCTCCTTGAAATTATTTGGAGCATAAACATTAACAAGATTTACCCTTTGTTGTATACCATTCTGGTTACCTGAAATCATAATGAAGGACCTGTCTTTAACAACCTCAATAACCCCAAAAATTAAGGGATTCCAAAGACAAAGGAGACCACCCGACTTCCCACTGGAATCTACCCCTACAAATCTGAAACTTGAGTTATCCCAAAATTGATCAACCTCAACTGAATCCATCTTCATTTGTGTTTCTTGACAGCTAATAAAACTTATTTGATGTTTAAATTTTAGCTCACGCACCCACTCTTGTTTATACGCATCCCCCGCTCTTCTTAAATTCAAAGACATACAAATCATTGGATCACTTCTTTAACACATTCACCTTGAATTACCCTTTTCACAACTTCTTCATTACCATCCATCTGATAACCCATCATCAACCCCAAATCTAAGGTTTTCAAAATCTCCACATAAGTAGAGCTTGACAATGTCGACTGAGTCACGTTCTTCTCAGAATTCCTTTTAGCACATGTCGTGCCCATGAATCCCGTTCTGGTTAACGAGGTGTCCCAAGAATTGGACCTCCCGTAACCAAAATTCACAATTCGAGAACTTGGCATAAAACCTCTCCCTCCTAAAAACTCCCAACAGCTTCCGATGGTGCTCCTCATGATGCTCTCTGGTCTTGGAATAGCCCAGAATATCGTCGATAAAAACAATGACCGAACGGTCGAGCATCGGCCTACATACCCAATCCATCAAATCCGTAAATGTCGTCGACGCATTGATGAGCCCAAATGGCATCACCACAAACTCGTAATGACCATAACGAGTTCGGAACGTTGTCTTCTCCACGTCCTCCTCTCTAACCCTCATCTGGTGATATCATGACCTCAAATCGATATTGGAGAACCAAGATGCACCCTGCAGGTGATCGAAGAGATCATCAATCCGTGGAAGTGGGTAACGATTCTTCACTGTTAACTTGTTCAGCTCCCGATAATCAATACACATGCGATGAGACATATCCTTCTTCTTCACAAACAAGATCGGTGCTCCTGAAGGCGAACTGCTTGGTCTAATAAACTGCCTGCCCAATAGCTCCTGAAGTTGAGATGACAACTCCTGCATCTCTGGTGGTGCTAATCGGTATGGCACCTCAGGTCTCGTTTGATAGTTTCTGTTCGGGAAAGTGCTGTCGGGGAAAGTGTTGTATGGAAAAGTTTTCTGTCCGAGAAAGAAACTATGTTTTGATTGTATATATGATTGAATGTGTTGAATGATGAAAAATGACAATATTACCCTGGTGTTCTATACTATGATGGATGAATTTGTTGAATAATTATAAAAACATACAAATTGTCATATAAAATCAAAATTACACAATAATCATTTAAAAATCCAAATAAAATGTCGATTAAGTTGTTTTTAGTTTTTTTTTCAAGTTGATGCTACATTGTTACTCTTTCTAGCAATTTTAATTTTTTTTTACAACTCAACATGTGATTTTTGACCCGGTTTATGTCTGATAGTGGTGGGATGGATGAATTTTTTTTAAAATAATATATTAGGATGATAGTGATGTTGTCAAAGAAAAAAGAATTTTTATCCAATAAAAATGAATTAAAAATTTAACTAAAAGAAATTAATAATCCAACAAAGTAATATTTATTAATATATAAATATTATATGTTTATAAATAATATTTATTAATATATAATAATCCAATAAAAAAGAATTAGTCCCTAAATAGGAAATAAAAAAGAATTATTTAAAAGAAAATAATAATCCAATAAAATAATATTAATTAATACATAAATATTATATATTAAAAATAATATTTATTAATATATAATAATCCAATACAAAAGTAATAATCTAATAAAAAAAATTAAAAAATTTATTTTAAAGAATTTAATAATCCAAGAAAAAAAGGAGGCGAGGTTTGGGACACATATTCAGCCAGAAATATATGGTTTTGAAGCTTTCTAGGAAAGACGTATTTTTACCGAGAAAGACCTATTTTTTTGTGCATATCAAAACAGTCTTTCCGTTCCATTCAACGAGAAAGATCTGTTTGGACCTAGAAAGATGTCTATCAAACAAGACCTTAGTAATCGGTGCTACACCATGAATCATATCGATCCTGAACTCCACTTGTCTCGCGAGAGACACACCGATTAATTCCTCTTGAAATACATCTGGAAATACTCTGACTACAGGCACATCCGAAACCAAAACTCCCTTTTCTACCCGAGTGTCAACCATATATGCGAGATAACTGTAACACCTACAGATTCGAGTTAGTCAATCTAGAGACA